AAATAAAAAAAAAATTAAAACAATTTGATTTTGTTTACTAATACAGAAAGCATATTTATTATCATGCCATTCTGTTGCATAACTTGCTGAAACATAGTTTTAAATTCATGTAGTAGAACTGATAATGTATTGTTGATTTGATTATTGTCTTCGTTATGATTCATAGATTGTTGTGGCCTAACCGCCTGTGAATAGCTCAAATGTTGAGAATACAAAGGTTTGTTTACCTGAGATAAGCTTCGTTCAGGCTTGCGCAGAGCTGAACTTGAATTAGAATTAAATTCAGTTACGGTATTAAATTTATTGTTATTATTAACAAGACTTTGATAGTATTCACATTTAGAGTAATTGGAGTTATGGGGGCCGCCACAAAAATAGCACGTACCCGAAGCTTCTTTAGCTTTAGTGCAGAGTCGATATATATGTGGTCCACCATATCTTAGACAAACAACGGCCCGGTTACAATAGGATTTTGAGTGACCATACATTTGACATCTTCCACATTGTATAATTTTGGAAGGCTTTAATGGATTCTCAAAATGGATAATTTGATTGAATATTTTGTTTACCATGAATATTGCTGAATTGTTGTTAGATGGCTCTAAGTCAATATAAAACACAATGAGTCGTTCTTTGCATTTAGGGTGAATAACATTTATTATACTTCATACTCTGTGTCCATTTTTTCCGATTTCGGATTTAATATATGCGATATTGGTAGTATGATGAATATACTTCAGTACGACTCTGTACGCCAGTTCTGATTTTGTTTGATATGTATGGAAGACTACTCTAGTTTCACATAAGTAGTGTATTAATTTCCCATAACAGTCGCTATCTATCACATTAATTTTGACACTGTTGTCCGCCATTGTTTTTGACAAAAACTGGTTTGAATTTAAAGTAGAATTAAAACTTACGATCATATGTGCTTAGTTTTTCAGACTATATATAAATATTGGCGGAATGTCTTTTTTATTAGAATGTTAGGTAAATTGTCATTTTGATTCATAGATGATTCATTAGTATTCAGGACGCTAAATCTATTAGTTCTTTTGATATTCTCATTAATAATTTTGCCCGTTCTTCTTCTTTTAAATCTGTGATGAACTTCCTGCCAGGGATTAGGGTTTAAGTCTAATGTAGCAGAGGGGTCCATAGCTGATGTTATTGGAGTTGAGTCCATTGCCGATGTTGATTGAATTGCGTTTATAGACAAAGTTGATTGAACTGTTAAGTCGATGATTGCTGACGCATTGCAACTATTAATATTAATGTTGTTTAAATGATTTCGAACAAAAACTGAATTCGTAGTTGATTCGTCACATAGATTTGATTGGTTTGAACCAATGGCGGAATAAATCTCATCAGAATTTTAGCTACATTTAATAACAATCACTAAATGACGTTTTTACGTGCCAGAAAAAGGCAAGCCCTATAGGATTAACTAAATAAAAAAAATCGGAATACTTTCAATTCAAACGGATGTGCACAACAAGTCGACTCACAATATTCACCGTTTATTCTCGAAACTAAGAAGTGCTCTCATCGAGTCCAAACCCTTAAGATGAGGAGAGATGTTTTCGCAAAAAATTGGTAGTGACACATTAGAGACGAAACGATGAAGGCACACGCTGCCTTCAGTTATAAACCCTGCAGGCGGGCATAGATGACAGATCGGTTGTAACTACGAAAAACGTGATATGAAGTGAAAAGCGTTATTAATTTTGGCAAAATGGAAATGAATTAAATATTAAATTCAATTTAGCAGATTTTATATTGAAAAGCATATACGCCAGCTTAGTGTAATGCCAACTCAAATCTCGAAAGTATTGTATGAAAAAAATTTCAGTGATGTTACATAACCAAGAGTCGAAATAAAATATTTTATATTGCAATTCAGTGAAAACCTATACACTGTGACAATGTGTTTAGTTTTTAACTTTCCGTAGGGTGAGCTATTGTAATGATCCAAAAATAAAAAAAAAATCATATTTTCACGTTTCAGAGGTGTCTGAATATTTTGGCATTCCTTAGAAAAAATAGATATGTGTGTGTACGTATGAGAGGATACAATTTTTCGTCGACGTTATCGGAAGCACCAATCAACCGATTTGAATGATTCAAAAACCATTCAATTCCTACTTATCGGGATTAGTACTGATTAGTTTTTGGGAAAGATGGTTCCAGACGTTTTCCAGATACGAGTGCAGACAATAAAAATTAAGTTTTTGAGAGAACAGGGCATACCATTTGAACGATTCAAAAAACATTCAATTTGCAATGATGACAAGACGTGGTTTTTGGCAAAGACAGGTCTAGCCGTATGATAGATAATAAGCTAAATGTGTAAAAAATAACAGTTTTTCAGAGAACAAACGATCCGATTCGAATAATTCAAAAAACATTTTGCCTGAGAAAAAATGATTAGTTTTTGGGGATTTTTTTTAACTTCCCGTTAAACATCCGCATTTTTTCGTCCACGTTTTCGGGCGCACGGATCAACCGATTTGAATCGTTCAAAGAACATTAGTTTTTGGCAAAGGCAGGTTTGAGCATTTCGAAGACACGGGCAAAAAGAACCAAAAATTATAATTCAGTTTTTGAGAGAACGGAGCGTCCGATTTAAATAATTCAAAAAAACGTATTATTTGTATTGATTAAACGAAAAACTGTTAAAATTTTTGGAAAGGCAGGTCTAACGGTTATGGACTCTCAATATTTTTCTTTTTTCAAATGTAATTTGGCGGTAAAAATGTTCACTAGACATATGCACATCAAATTATCAGATATTTTATAGAGATTTTAATAATGTGTACACATTTTGTGTCAATTTTTTTGGGTTCCGTTCAAATGGTTCAAACAAATGTCCTCGACATTTTCGACAGTATGGAATAACCGATTTGTATTATTGAACAAAAATTTGGTACTCGATCGCGAGGCGTTTTTGCAAAAAGCACAAAGGGTGTAAAAATGGTTATGCAGTTTTTGAGAGAACGGATCATCCGATTAGATTAATTCAAAAAATCTTTTGCTTGTGTAGACGATGTGCAAAAAATGGAGTTGTTTCAAAAATTTTCAAAAAAAAATGAATTTTCAAAAAAAAATTTTATCTTCAGTAACTCAATTTTTTTCATTTTGAAAAAAAATCTAAATTTCGAAAAAATTGAAAAACATCAGAATTAAAAAAAAGATTTCTTACAAAAGTTTGAGAATATTTTTGAAATTTTCAAAAAAAACGGACATTTTCAAAAATTTCCAAAATCTCAAAAAATTTAAAAAAATCGTTTTTTTTTTGAATTTCAAAATTATCAAAAAAAAATTAACAAATTTAAAAAAAATTAAAGAAATTTCTTGTAAGCATACACATAAGTTGTTTGTAGAATACGCTCGTCGCCTAATAAGCACATATAAATTTACAGTATGTATTTATAATAAATAATCTATTTGAAATGATTTAAAACAATTATTGATTATTTTCATTCCTTGAATTTTTAATTACGGTACGGAAAGTTCCAGCAATTTGCCTTAAGGCAGGATGTCATGCGCCCCACTAGTTTTTTTTATTCGGCGTGCTGGTTTTCTTATTTTGACTAATGAATACACTTATATACAAAATATAAATGCATTTTGGTTTTTAATAAATATTTCCATACAGAATTTGTTGAGACGCGCGCTAGCGATGAGTCTTATGCTTGCTCGTCGCTCTTACATAGGCGAACTTACATAGGCGTTCTTGTACCGACAGCGCATGTACTAGCTTAAGTTTTTCTAAGTTTTGGGCATGAAGTTTCACCTAGATTTAAATGCAATTTTGAATAACAGATTTTCATACAGTAACAAATAATTTTTTTGCATTATTTGTCATGAACAACATAGACAAGATCAGTGTTAATAGAATGACGTTAACATTTTTTCGATATTTCTTATATTTCCGACAAAAAGTGAGTTTGAAAAAAGGGGCCACTTTCACATGTTTTCACTGATATCTCGGCCAAATGATGAGATAGGGAGTTGAAAATTGGTATATTTATTTTTCGAAAAGACCAATAAAATGACATCATAATCATTTAAAAAACATAGTGGGGCCGAATTTAAACTAGAATTAAAACTTACGATCATATGTGCTTAGTTTTTCAGACTATATATAAATATTGGCGGAATGTCTTTTTTATTAGAATGTTAGGTAAATTGTCATTCTGATTCATAGATGATTCATTAGTATTCAGGACGCTAAATCTATTAGTTCTTTTGATATTCTCATTAATAATTTTGCCCGTTCTTCTTCTTTTAAATCTGTGATGAACTTCCTGCCAGGGATTAGGGTTTAAGTCTAATGTAGCAGAGGGGTCCATAGCTGATGTTATTGGAGTTGAGTTCATTGCCGATGTTGATTGAATTGCGTTTATAGACAAAGTTGATTGAACTGTTAAGTCGATGATTGCTGACGCATTGCAACTATTAATATTAATGTTGTTTAAATGATTTCGAACAAAAACTGAATTCGTAGTTGATTCGTCACATAGATTTGATTGGTTTGAACCAATGGCGGAATTAAAGATTTACTCTTTTCCGAAGGGAGCATTAGAAATAAAAACAAAGAAAAAAACTTATATTAAATGTCTGCTATATTACTTAGCAGATAAACTTTACTTAACCGATAAATAAAAATGACTTTTTAGAAAAATACTACTTCACAGTATATCAACCGTGAGTGATGATACTATAAAGTAATAATGTTTTTATCTGTTATATAAGGATACAAAATTGTAAACCCATTTTTTATAGTTATTATCGTTTTTTTTTTAATTTTCAAATATTATTTATTTAGTTTTGATTTTTATAGTTATATTGATAGCCACTGAATGAAGGCTAAGATGCTAACCGCAACGTGTGGATTCTAAATATATTTCTAATATTAAGAAACTACGTGTTTGTTTTGTTCAAGGCCGTGTTGTCAAATTATTTGTGTATGACACATGTGATAAATATATTTGCAGATACGAGTATGTTATCCATTCCCGCAGGAATGGGGCGACGGATATCCGCGAGCCGTCGTCTTAGCCAGGTTCCTGGTCTACTACGCGATTCCACTAACGGTGATCGGTTGCTTTTACGCGCTTATGGCACGGCATCTTGTACAAAGCGCACGGAATGTTCCTGGAGAGATACACGGTGCACAACGACAGGTAAACAAACACAATTGTTCACAATTTTCAGTAGAGTTACAATTATCTTCCGTAAAATAGACCTCTATATATATATATATATATCTTCCGGAAAATAGACCAATAGAATGGAAAGGCTATATTACGTAAAAACTTTTATATAAAGTGGAACAAAAAACTGTCTAAATGTTATGTGGTTGCTGTGCAGCCAGGCATTCTAGATTAAAAACTCAACCAAGAAAATGCACAAACGTCAAACAAAATCTTATTATAAGGGCATTTTTGTGATGTGGCATAATAACATACGAGTGAGTTTCATGTTTAAAACGTCTGACTGCACAGCAAATACATATAAATTTGTCAATTTTTAGTGCTACTTCATATGAAAAAGTGTCGGAAACATAGCTTTGTCTTAACATTGGCCATTTTACGGCAAAATCGGCTCATTAATGAGCAGTTTTTATAACACAAATCATCATTATATATCTATGAACATATATGGGCTATACATCGCTAAAGTTTTCCGCTTTACAGCAGTGTTGGCCTTAATTTTTCTAAAATTATGAACAGCATTGAACTTTTTAAATTTTGATGTTTTTGTTTTATTTGCTTTTTTATTTAACTTCTGTAAAAAATAATATTATATATATATATATATATATATATATATATATATATTATATTTGAAAAGTTGAGCTTGCATGTTTTGTAATAATTAAAAACTTGAAGGCTTATGTATACAGATTTTTTTATACTTGAAACTTCAACCTTTGATGAAAAATGATTACTTGAACTTGAATAAAAATATTCTAACTTTTAATAACTAACAATACGGTTTCAAATTCTGTAATATTAAAAATGCAGTTTGTATAATATGAAGAAACCTGTTTTAGATGCAAAGCAATATGCTTTAGAATAAATTTAATTTTTATTTTTCGATGTATTAAAAATACGACTAATTCTCATATTCTAATTTCCTTTGCAGATCTTGGCACGACGCAAGGTCGCAATTACGGTGCTTGCCTTTGTCGCCGCATTTGCGGTATGCTTTTTACCCTACCATGTGTTTATGATGTGGTTCTATTATACGTGAGTAGTAATATTTTGTATATAATTGTTATATATTGCAAATGAAAATGACTGAAACATCATATGACCAAATTATAAATGAAAGATAAATGAAAACTTACATAATTATTTTCGTGGAAAGTTGACGCGAGGCTTGGCGCGTGATCCTATACCTTTATGCCCCACGCGACCTTTTCACTTGTATTTTGAAATGGAAATATTTACACTCGCTTAAATAACACGTGTTAAATAGTGTGTCCGGCGCTAGGTGCCATCCGGCATTACGGGACTTCCCCCTATTTGATTTGTTCACTATGAGCATTTAGATCTTATTTAGTAGTTGGCGTTAGGCTATATTAAAAATCCCAGCTTATAGTCAAAATATTATATTTTTGGTAATTCCAATAATTTTTGAGGAGTGAATCGTTGAATCAGTTTGATCTGTGTCTAGACCAACGACCTACGAACAATTCGAACGAAAATCTTGGGAACAGTAAACCCTCTGCTGAGAGGTACGGCACACTTCAGTGCAAAAAACACTTGTTTTATGATTGTTTATGGTTTATGATGCGTTTCTACGGTAGTCCATTATGAGGTAGGTTGAAGATTGTATATTATCATCTGCTAAATAAATTAATAAATTTTATGTATTTTCATGTTGCCAATTGTGAATTAATAAAAAGTTATTGGTGAAAGTGTAGCAAAAAAAATATATTTGTGAGATTATTTAAGTTTATTTTTATTAAATATTAATAGTATACTTAATGAAATTAATTATGTTTGACTCAATTTCAATTTAATAAATATATGTTTTATGGTCAGGGGTAGAAGCGTTAGTTAAAATATAAGTTAGTTGGATCTGGTGTTAAACAAATTAATACACGAAATGTGTTGTACGATACACATTTGTTAACTGATTTACATTCATACAACATTTATAAAAAATTATATTATTACTGTGAAAAATTATAAAACGCAATAAAATGCATACTATTGGCATGTGTAAAGATATACATCATAAACTAGTAGTACATGGCATCGTGCCTTAAGGCAGATTGCTGGAACTTCTTGTACCGTAATTAAAAATTCAATAATTGTTTGAAATGAAAATAATCAATAATTGTTTGCTTTTGGAAAAAAATGTTTGTTTCAGTTTTTCTTTTTCACTTTTTTCCAATTTATTTGCATACTATTGGTATGTGTAAATATATACATCATAAACTAGTAGTACATGGCATCGTGCCTTAAGGCAGATTGCTGGAACTTCTTGTACCGTAATTAAAAATTCAATAATTGTTTGAAATGAAAATAATCAATAATTGTTTGCTTTTGGAAAAAAATGTTTGTTTCAGTTTTTCTTTTTCACTTTTTTCCAATTTTTTTATTTTTGTATATCGAAATTAATACAAATTTTAATTTTAATTCTGTCTGAAGTTTTAAATCTTACTTACATAATTCAAATAAATAATTTTAACTTTGTAATTTAGTTTATATAATTCTTATCAATAAATATTAGATATTGTAATATTATTTTTAATAATCTATTTGAAAACACTTTTCAAATTTTCCACAAACCATTTTATTACGCTGCGGGAAGTTTCAGCAATTTGCCTTAAAGCACGATGCCATACACCACTATTGGAATTATTCTAATCGGATGATCCGTTCTCTCAAAAACTGCTTGATCTTTAGTGCACTATTTGCGCTATGAAAATCTACCGAGCCGTTTCCTTGCAATTAACTGTTGAAAAAAAATTAGGCCGATTTTTATAGAGCTTTTTTTAGCGATATATATCATGGCCTTATAGAACTTACTATATATATACATAGTATATATATATATATATATATATATATATATATATATATATATATATATGTGTGTGTGTGTGGGTGTCAATACATTAAGTAGGGCGGGATACAAAGATTCAATTTGACGTTGAGCAATTATATTGTGAAAACTTAACCATTTATATCACAAGAAATTACACATATCAAACAAACAATTATCTGACTATGTTCAGTAAAACTCCCAGCTAATTTATCATGGAAATATGTTTTTTTCTAGTTTTCAAGAATTTGTCACCTGGTTCTTTTTGCTCTATATGTGGGGTAGAATGATTCACCCTTGGGCGAACAGATTCAATGTATTGATTTTAATTTTGAAGAGATTTTACGAAATAATGCCTACTATAGGCAACCAATGCAAAATATAAATTTGATGCGTAATTTTTTTTACAAAAATAATACGGTTTGTAATCTTGATCTGTCATTTTGTCAGAAATATTTATTAGCGGAGTTTAAATAACTACTTATTAACTTCCGAAGGTGAAGTTTCTTTTCATCAAAATATCCAGTTCGCTAATTTTATGTTTTCTCGACGTTTTAAGCCACTCTGAATCGAATGAGACCAAATTTGGAAAATGTATGTGTGTGTGTGTGCGTATGAACTGTTTTTTTACTTCAAATCGACGTTTTCTTAAAAAAAAAAACGGCTGAACCGATTTAAACAATTTAAAACGATGAGGAGTATCGTTTGTCAGTTTTGCGCGACAATTGGCTGAGCAATTTCTTTGTAATTTGCAAAAAAAAGCTCGCGTCCTGAATGCCTCGTTTTAGCTCACAATCCTGAATCTATATAAAAAAAATCAAAAACTTAATATTGATTAATTATTATTTTATGAAATTTTTTTGACGATTAAGACCATGATCTCATAGAACATACTGAAATATTACGGCCCTACGACAAGTTACTTAATTTTAAAAATTCATCAAAGTCTGAAAAACATTATAGTCATAATTTGTGTCAAAAGTCGCTTTTGTGATGTGATAAATCCATCAAGTTGATTAGAAATGGCTTTGGAATCAGCAAGAAAGTAAATGAACTTACTACAAAATTTCTTTAGTTTTGTAAAAATGTTACCATTTATTTAAATCATTAAATTATATCTAAAATTATGTACATGATATATGTAATTCTGTCAGTATTTTTTTATTGCAGATGCTTAATATTTTACAAACTAAGTTATTAAGTTTAAAAAAAATATTTTGACGATTTTCATGAAAATTGTCGTGGCAATAAAGTTTATGCACTACTAACAAATAACGTTTTAAAACGTTAATATAAAAATTATATTAAAGTCTCGTACTGAGCAAAAGTGCTCATGATCAGAAAAATTAACAACGGAGGAAATGATTTTTTATGGATTTTCAAACATTGCCTTTTATCTACCAATAGCAACGCTGTAAGAATCAAACTTTCATTTTCTTTTATTAATAAATTAATTAATTAATATTTATCATCAATCCTAAAAGGTTCCACTGTAGTAAGCCTTTTCAACTTTTATGAATAAATGAAGTAAAACTAGTTCGTATTGGTATTTTGCCTTGAAGCAAGTTACATGAACTTGTCGAAATGTGTAAATAATCGACCTAATCAATAAAAAAAATATAAGTTATTAAAAGTATTCCGAGTGGATTTATTACACATAATTGAAAACGAACGATCAAGTTAACTCTGAGTTTTTTCTAAAAGCAAATTTTCAAAAATCAATAATTGAACCAGTTTCCGTATGACTTTAATGGTTCAGTATGTTCATTAAGACCAATTACTCCATGGTTATACCAAGTAAATCGCCTAATTTTAATTTTAACAAACGTCAAAAAACACTACTCATTTTCTCAAACTTTGATGAATTTTTAAAATTAAATTACTTGTCGTAAGGCCGTAATATTTCAGTAAGTTCTATAAGACCATGATATATATCGCTAGAAAAAAGTTCAATAAAAATCGGCTTAAATTTTTTTTCAACAGTTAATTACAAGGAAACGGCTCGGTAGATTTTCACCTAAAACTAATCAATATAATTCCCAACTAATATTTTTCGAATAGTTTTTGATTTTTAACTTTCCGTAGGGTAAGTTATAGTAACCCCAAAAAAATCGAAAATGTTTGCATATATTCACGTTTCAGAATTACGTACCAAAATGATATCACGTTTCACCTTACACGTACCAAAATGTACATTTTGGTACGCTTTAGAAAAAACTGATATTTGGCGGTCAAATATGATCATTAGACATATACATATCAAATTATCAGTTATTTTATAGAAAATTTGTATGATTTTGTTGATTTATGAGATATTTTTGTTACAACTTTTTTTGGATTCCGTAGTAAGATTTATAATTTTTAAAGTTCATTCAAATGTTCAAACAAATATCATAACTTTCATAACATTTTCTTTTTACAATTTTCAAAAGTATGCAAAGTTCTACACTTTTAATATAAATTTTAAGTTTACATTTTATTTTAAAAATGTGTATATTTTATATGCGTTATTCAAATCGTAAAAAAAGTATTCTCAGATAGATGCCTAATTCGGCATGTTAATGTAAACTTTCTCAAGTGTTTAATGCGATAAGATCGTTGTTATATAATATGAGCCAGAAATAACTGTAAAAAATGCACTTATAATTATCTATTTGAAAAAATGTAAAACAAATGTTATTAATCATTGATTGATTTTTGATTTTTTTCCCACAAGCATTTAATTCTGCCAAGGAAAGTTCCAGCAATTTGCCTCAAGGCACGATGCCATGCATCCCGCTAGTTCAAAATGGATTTGGTAGTATGAACTTAAATGTGGACGAAAAGTTTAATACTTTTCTTCAAATTACAAAGAAACGGCTTGGCAGATCGTTGCACTAAACTGACAAACGATAGTTCACATTGATGTACATCAAATAGCTTTTAAATTTCTGAAATCGGTTCAGTTGTTTTTGAGCAAACGTCGATCAAAGGTCTAATTTTGATAAATGCCAAAAAACGATACTAGTTTTTGCAAACCCTGACGAAATTGACAAAGTTAAACGAGTTGTCGTACGGCCGTAATATTTTAGTATGACCCATGGTATCTACCGTCAAAAAAAATCATAAAGATCGTCGAAAAGACTTCTTCAACCCGTTATTACAAGAAAACGTCCCGCCGATTTTTACCAATCAGGTCAATTCCCAATCA